GGGCCCGGGCTGGGGATTCGAACCCGTCACCTTAGGTGTATGTGGCTGGCACCTTAGCCGCTTGAGCCACAGGCGCCGAACCTATTTTTCTATTTTTAATAGAGATGGAGCTCTTACCCTTGTTCAGGCTGGTCTTGAACTCCTGAACTCAAGCAATCCAGCGTGGTAGGATTATAGGCCCTGAGTCATCACACCCTGCCATCTTTGCAGTTTTTTGTTTGTTTGTTTGTTTGTTTGAGACAGAGCCTCAAGCTGTCACCCTGGGTAGAGTGCAGCAACCTTCAACTCCTGGGCTCAAGCAATTCTCCTGCCTCCGCAATCTCAAGTAGCTGGAGCTACAGGCGCCCGCCACAACGCCCAGCTACTTTTTGGTTGCAGCCGTCATTGTTGTTTGGCGCGCCTGAACTGGATTCAAACCCTCCAGCTCAGGTTTATGTGGCTGGCGCCTTAGCCACTTGAGCCACAGGCACTGAGCCATCTCTGCAGTTTTTATATGCATTTCTCTTAGTACAAGTAAGGTTGACCATCTTAAGCCCCAACTGTGTGTTATCTCTTGGATTTTTTCAACACAGCAATCACTATTGATGAGCCTACTTTTAATAGCACAAAAGAGTGGTGGTCCAATTAAAAGAAGACACATGGGCCTGGTGCAATGACTCCCGCCTGTAACCCCAGTACTCTGGGAGGCGGGGTGGGTGCATCACTTGAGCTAAGAAGTTGAGACCAGCCTGAGCAAGAGTGAGACCCCATCTCTACTAAAAATTAGCCAGGCATGGTGGCTACCTGCCATGGTACCGTAGTCCCAGCTACTCGGGAGACTGAGGCAAGAGGATTGTTTGAGCTGTGGTGTGACGGTACTCAACCCAGGGTGACAGAGTAAGACTCTGTCTCAAGAAAAAAAGAGGGGGTGGGGAGAGGACTGAGGAATAAATACGATGTAAAGTGTAGAGTTGGAGTAGGCAAGAATTTAACCAAGAGGAAGAGAGAATATAAGGCAGATGGTTGGAGGGGCAAGGGAGGGGACTTTAGGCTGTGCTTTAAATGCAGAGTGTGAGAAAGGAACCCTCTAGACCTTGAACTATGTTTAAACTGCAGAGACTCTGAGCACTGCCAATTACTAGCTGGGTGACCTTGTACAAGTCATTTAATCTCTCTGGGGACTCATTTTCCTCACCTGTAAAAAACGGCAATATTAGTCCCCACCACATAGGGCTGTTGCAAGAATTAAATGAGAGAACACATTTAACCAACTCAGAAAAGGGCCTGGCAAAATGACATACTGTAGTATCGAACGATCCTCCTCTCCCTAGACCTCTAGCTGTGTTTCCACAGATAATGACGTTCCCAGGAAGCTTTCCCAGTTCCAGACCTTTAGAGATGGAATGGCGGCGGGACTGTGGCCCAACCCGCTCTGCGCAGGCGCGCACATTGAGCTTTAGGGGGTGAGAGGGGCGGGACTGCAGCCGCCTGGGCTGTTCCGACAATAGCGCGCCACCCCCTCCGCGCCCCGCGCCGCCCTTGCTAGCAGGCGCCTCCCGCCCCCTGCATTGCTGATGCTGCTGCTGGCAGACATGGACGTGGTGAATCAGGTACGCGCTCCAGCACCGTGGACAGAGCCCGCCGCTTCCAGGCCTTCCAGGCCCGGGTCGCTCAGGCCAACCGACTTAGAGATGGTGGGCAGGGTCTTGGCAGCGGAAACTCGGTCCCTGGCGCTAGGGCTGGGGGTCTGCGGCCGGCGAAGGGGAGGAAGGGGAAGGTGGAGAAAAGGAGTGCTCTCTCTGCCGCAGCGAGGGCCATTCTCACTGCCGCAGCGGGGCCCCCAGAAGCCCAGTTCATTACTGGCGACCTGGAGGGGAGCAAGAGGGGCCTGGGGTCTTGGGTGTGGGCAAGGGGGAAGAGGAGGGGAGAGTGGAAGGAAGACGCGGGGGGGGGGCTGCAGATGATCTGGGAAATAGAGCGACAGAAGGTGTGGGGGTGGGGAGGGAGGCCTGGCACCCGCCCTTCCCAAATAGAAACTATACCCTGGTAGACGACCACCCCTTCCCCCAGAGCACACCTAGGGGGACGATCTGCTTTTGCCTTTCCAAAACCCCCAGTCTCCTCTCCCCCAACACATAGCCAGTAAAGCCATGTTCCAACCCTCCCCCACCTTAATCAGTCCAGACCCTCTCCGCTATCTCACTCTTCTTCACCACCTCAGAAACTCACCCCCCTCAAACCAGTACCAACCCTTCCCCCATCACCTCAAACCCCACCATTACCACCACCTGACTCACCATTACTGCTGCAGACCCCTCCCCCACTCTAACCAACCTGACTCCCGCCCTGTTATGACTCACCTTCACCACTCAAGACCCCCTCCCCCACCAGGATGAACCCCAAGTCTATCTCCACTCTCTCCACCCAATACCCTTCCCCATCTGACTTGCTTTTATATTTCAGATCTTTCTTTTCCTTCCCTAACTAGTCCTAACCCTGTTCCCATCTTCCCCTCCCCTGACCTCATCTGCCATCTGACTCACCATCACCCCAAACCTCCCCACCAGTCCTGAATCTTGGGGGGGTCTTCTCTCAGAAATCCTTGTGCTCACACCTTCCTCAAGGTGTCACTTTCTCCTTCTCATCCCATCTCCAAAATCACCCCTTCCTGAAGTCACATGCTCCATCCCCAGGGTCATCACCTGGCAACCTTGCCCCTCACCTCTCTCTCTGCCTCCAACAACTCACCACCCCCACACTGTTTCTCTCCTCAGCTGGTGGCCGGGGGTCAGTTCCGGGTGGTCAAGGAGCCCCTTGGCTTTGTGAAGGTGCTGCAATGGGTGAGTGTGGTCTGTGCTATTGGGGGAGAGCGCAAGGAGAGAGAGAGGTAGTGAGGTCTACAAGAGCAGGGGCGGAGTTGGGGTGGGGAGTGAAGAATGGATGGGGGGGTTAGGGGACAGGGGAATTGGGCCCCAGGGTGAGGTTTCAGTCATTTGGGACCAGAGAACGAATGGTCTGTGACATCACATAGGGATGAGGGTACCCCCGTTGTGAAGTGGCAGATTGTGATGTCCTACCTCCTCTCCTGAAAGGAGAAAGAGGCGAAGGAGGTGGAGCTTGTGGCTGATTGCTGGGGGAAAGATGCAAAGCCAGAGACACTCACAGATAGTGAAGGAAGGAGAGATAATGAAAGATTGAGATTGATAGAAAGATGGAGATACAGAGAAAAAAGAGATCCAGTGATGAGAAGAGATACAGAAACAAGAGAGAAAAGAGAAGCAGACAAAGAAAAGGAAGATAGAAAAAGATACACAGAGAACAGAGATACAAAGAGAAATAGACACAGAGAGAGAGGCAGGGAAATGGGATGTGGGAGACAGATACATAGAGAAAGAGGCACTTGGAAAAAAAGAGAAACCAACACCCAGAGATGCGCAGTGGGGACAGAGAGAGAGAGCCATACAGAGACTGAGTAAGAGATAAACAGACCAAGAAACAGAAAGACAGATAGAAACATACACTCCCACAGAGAGGGGAAAAGGAGATAGAAAGAGACAGCTAGTCACTAGAGAAGCAGATGCAGAGAGTCAGAGACATGGAGAGATGAAGAAACATCTGAGAAAGACAGAAAAACAGAGATAACAAGAAAAACAAACAGGGAGACACAGAGAGAGACAGAGGAGGGAAATCAGAGCACAGAGAAGTAGAGACAGAGAGAGACACAGGGAGAGAGAAGAAAAGGAAGAGACAGCCATACCCCTGTAATCAGCTTGTCCTTGGTCCCGATGAGCCCTGATTAGGGAGTGGGGGTGGGGACTGCTCCATCTGCTGCTGCCTCTGCTGGGCCCCCAATCTGTCTAGAGGAGGACACCCCCTCCCACATGCACACAGCTCACTATAGCCATCCCCACCCTGCTACCCAAGGTCTTCGCCATCTTCGCCTTCGCCACATGCGGCAGCTACAGCGGGGAGCTCCGGCTCAGCGTGGAGTGTGCCAACAAGTCTGGGAGTGACCCCAACATCGAAGTTGAATTTGAGTATCCCTTCAGGTGTGCCCCCACTCTGGGATCTCAGCAGCCCAGAGAGAGGCAGGGGTGGAATGGGACCAGCCAATACCTCCTCCCCAGTGACCCTTTCCCAGCCCCCACCTAAAGAGGCCACACCTGCGGGGATTACTGCCCATGCACTGAGCACCTGCCTTGTACCTGGCACTGCTCTGGACTCTAGGACTATGTGGTGAGCAAGATAGACATAGGCTATCACCCTCCAGCTCTGTTCTAGTGAAGGAAAAGGGTAGGAGGCAGGCAATAAAGAAGACTCAAAAGAAAACACATACACACCACTTAACACAGTAGGTGCTCAATTAATGTTAGCCAGTATTATTATTTAATCTCCATTCATTTATTCTACACGCATTTTTAAAGAATTTCTTATATACCAAGTACTACTCAAAGTGCTGGAGACATAACAGTGATTAAAGCAGACCCAAATCCTTACCTGCATGGAGCCTACATTATAACAAATTAATAAAGAGGATAATTGCAGATTGAGAGAAATTCGAGGAGGGGATCCTCTCATACAGGGTTTCATGATGGAGAAAAATGAGGGGGTGCTTCTTATATGGGGGGATGATTAAACCCAATTCAACAATTCTGATATTTGTTGAGCTCACACTGTGCCAGGCACTTTGCTGGGTGCTAGGTGCACAGAGAGGAGCACAGGCTGGCATGGTTGCTACCCTCATGGATATGTTTTACCTCCTGGAGGGTGGAATGACAGAGTCCTACAGACACAATTTCAGTAGGTTTCTTTTTTTTTTTTTTTTTTTTTTTGAGACAGAGCCTCAAGCTGTCCCCCTGGATAGAGTGCCCTGGCATCACACTCACAGCAACCTCCAACTCCTGGGTTCAAGCGAGTCTCCTGCCTCTGCCTGTCAAGTAGCTGGGACCACAGGCGCCTGCCACAATGCCTGGCTATTTTTGGTTGCAGCCATCATTGTTGTTTGGCGGGCCTAGGCTGGATTCGAACCCACTAGCTTAGGTGTATGTGGCTGGCACCTTAGCCACTTGAGCCACAGGCGCCAAGCCTTCAGTAGGTTTCTGAGGCTCCTCCACTACTATTTGATCAAATGACATAACCACTCTGGGTCCCAATTTCCTCATCTGTAAATGGGGATAATAATAATACCTACCTCACAGGGTTGTAGTTAGTAGCGATTGAATTGATGCTTATAAAGTGCATAGCATGGTGCCTGGCTCCATAAGTGTTTGTTAAGAAAGCAAAAATAAAGAAACAAGCTTTAAGGGCTAGGGAAAGAGGTCAGGGATTGAGTTGGAAACTGGGAGGTTTTGAGTGTCAAGGGAAATGTGGGCTCAAGAGATCACCCAGTGGGAAAAAGGAAGAATTAGAACAGAAGACAGCCCAGCACAAGCCCTGAGCAATGGTAGAAAGAAGAGGTACCAGGAAAGTGAGGCCTGAGAGGTAGAGGGGCAATCAGCTGTCCATGGGCTCACAGAAGCAAGAGAGAAGAGCACCTAGAGAAGGAGAGTAGTTGGCAGTGTGGGATACTGCTTAGAGCCCACCCTTTGGGAATCCACAAGACCACAAAAATCTCCAGTGCATGCCCCCCATATCTCCAATGCCTAGGACCTCAGGTCCTAAGGATCTACCCTTTAGCCACAAATCTCCTAGAAAAAAAAATCTTTGCCCTGTGTCTCCCTGACTAACACACTCTCTGTCCTGATGCCCCCCAAGGAGCCCCATTCCCCTTTATACACTCCCTTCTCCTGACCCAGCCCACTAGAAACTTGACGCTCAAACCTAGATTCAAACTCCTAGATCCACCACTTGCCAGCTTTACACCCGGGGCAAGTAACTTAAACTTGCTGAGCCTCCGTTTGTTCATCTGTAAAATGGGCATAATAATACCTGCTTTAAAGAATTGCTAAGAGGTGTTAAATCAGCGGTTCTCAACCTGTGGGTCACGACCCATGGGAACTGTATTAAAGGGCTGTGTGGCATTAGGAAGGTTGAGAACCACTGTGTTAAATGAAACAATTATGTAGAGTGCTTAGTAGGTGATTAATAAATGTAAGCCTCTTTCCTCCAGACTTTTGCTACACAATGGCACCAGCACCATTAGCTCAGTCTCAGAATCTAGCCTCCTAATCTGAGACCAGAGCTCTGAGACCCCTCTCCTGTCCTCCACACGCACATTTCCTTCTCCCTACAACTCCCTCCTCCATCACACCACAGGAAAGGCCTTAGTTCCAGGACACCTTCCCAGTCCTCCCCGCTACCCTCACATACACATATCCTGTTCCAAAAACCCTTTTACCCTTCTTTCCTGCTGTCTGTCTTTTCCTATTTTATAGTCACTGGACTTTCCTCTGCTATGCAGACATTTTTTTCTCTCAGGGACTTGAAATGGGGTAGAGAGAAGAGTGAACGTGATGTAGAGAGAAAACAAGGTTCAGATCCAAAATCTGTAATTCCCTTCCCAGCTCTGTGACTTTAGGCAAGTTAATTCACTTCTCTGTGCCTCTGTTTCCATCTCTGTACATTTCGCTCAATAAACATTTCTTGAGCACCTACTATGTGCCAGGACTGTTCCAGGCCCTGGAGCTACAGCAGTGAACAAAACAGAAAAAAGCCTTGCCCTCTTGTAGTTACAGCAAAAATTAAGATTAAAAAAAAAAGTAAAAGAGGCAGCACCTGTGGCTCAAGGAGTAGGGTGCACCGGCCCCATATGCCAAGGGTGGTGGGTTCGAGCCCAGCCCTGGCCAAAAACTGCAACAAAAAGAAAAAAAAAAGTAAAAGGGTTGGTGCCTGTGGCTCAAGCGGCTAAGGCACCAGCCACATACGCCTGACCTGGCGGGTTCAAATCCAGCCTGGGCCTGCCAAACAACGACAGCTGCAACCAAACAATAGCTGAGCATTGTGGCAGGTACCTGTAGTCCCAGCTATTTAGGAGGTGGAGGCAGGAGAATCACTTGAGCCCAGGAGTTGGAGGTTGCTGTGAGCTGTGAAGCCATGGCACTCTACCCAGGGCGACAGCTTGAGGCTCTGTCTCAAAAAAAAAAAAAAGTAAAATACATAACAGATGGAGATCACTGCTACCAAGAAAAATGGAGCAAGGAAAGGACTAAGGAGTGCTGGAAAGGAATGGCTCAATTTAATTTAAAATAATGAGATCAGGGAAAACCTCACTAAGAAAGTAACAGTTTAGCTGGGTGCTGTGGCGGACGCCTGTAGTCCCAGCTCTTTGGGAGCCTGAAACAAGAGAATCGCTTAAGCCCAGGAGTTTGAGGCTGCTATGAACTGTGCCGCCACAGCACTCTACCCAGAGCAACCGCTTGAGACTTTGTCTCAAAAAAAAAAAGAAAAAGTGACAGTTGAGCAGGTTGAAGGAGATAACAGAAAAAAAACATGAGGATATCTAGAGGAAGAATATTCCTGGCAAAGAGAATACTTCATATCCTGGGGTGGGCAGATGCTTAGCAAGTTCTAGAAATAACCAGGAGGCCAGAGTGCCTGGGTCAGAGTAAAGGAAGAATAAAACCTATCTCAGTAGGATGTTTTGAGCAGTCAGTGAAATGTGACTGGTAAATAGTAGGTGCTCTGTGAATGGTTTTTTCCTCCCCTTCCTGGGAACGTGTCAGAATCTGGGAGAACCTATGAATGGGCCGGGGCAGGGGTTCCTTAGGGGCTGGGCCATACCTGCCCACCTCTGTCTACAGGCTGCACCAAGTGTACTTTGATGCACCCAACTGCCGAGGGGGCACCACCAAGGTCTTCTTAGTGGGAGACTACTCCTCGTCTGCCGAATTCTTTGTCACCGTGGCCGTGTTTGCCTTCCTCTACTCCATGGGGGCTCTGGCCACTTACATCTTCCTGCAGAACAAGTACCGAGAAAACAACAAAGGACCCATGATGGTGAGTCCCCATAGCTACTTGCATGCAGAGATCATGGGGACACAAAGCCTTAGGAACACAGCCATGTTAATAGGTCACACCAAATCCCAGAAAGACCTACATGCAAGCAGCCTCCGTAACAGCCACATATGCTGGTGCTGCTGCTGCTGCTAAGTCCACACCAGGCATTAAAGGCACAGAGTCATAGAGTCACAAGGACATACTCAGCCCACACAAAATCCCAGACAGACCCACACCTGGGAATTTGCCCACTCTCACACAACCACGTAGTCTAGATCAAAGGAAGGAGCCCTCAGAGGATCACTGTGACAGTCATGCATGTCATCATGCCACAAAGACACACTGATTCCTACACAGCTATACTCACACACCCTCATCCCAGACACAAAGTGACACAAATTCCTACATGTAGACAAAAGTGGAAAGGCACACTACTTTCTACAGATTTGGAAACCATCCCACAGATTTCCCCCCAGCACTCACACCCACATATCACAATCACACTCCTACACTCTCTGCATCATGTACACATACACACAAGCTGGGAGGGCTACCTTCAGGTGAAAGTGTTGTGAGCTTCAGAAATGGAAAGGTAGGGGTGAAACAGGCCTCTAGCGGGGGTCCCCCTTTCCAACAAAGCCTGTGATTTGAGAAGGTCCCATAGCCCACTGTGAGGCATCCCACTCACAGAGTCTCTTCCTCACCTCTGCCTACCTAGGACTTTCTGGCCACGGCAGTGTTTGCCTTCATGTGGCTAGTTAGCTCATCGGCATGGGCCAAGGGGCTATCAGACGTGAAGATGGCCACAGACCCAGAAAACATTATCAAGGAGATGGCTGTCTGCCGCCAGACAGGAAACACATGCAAGGAGCTGAGGGACCCTGTGACCTCCGGGCTCAACACCTCCGTGGTAAGCCCTGGGGACTGGCTGGAAGAGGGAGGCTGAGAAACTTCCAGTTTGCCATGGGGAGCAGTGGAGAGTGAGAATAAGAGGAGAATCAGGGAAGATCCAATGGGACTCCCTGGAGGAAGCATGCCAATAATGTTGAAGGATGAGATAGCAATACCACTATTACACCACAGACTGTCCCCAAGGGGGAAACATGAGACCTTCTGTCCAGATTAGGTTTGGGAAATCTGGATCCCAGACCCAGCCTAGTCATGGCAACTCAGCCCCATCTTGGGACCTCAGTTTCCTCATGTGCAAAATGAATGAATGATTTGAAATGGGCCAGTGCAGTGGCTCATGCCTGTAATCCTAGCACTCTGGGAGGCTAAGGAGGGTGGATCGCCTGAGCTCAGAAGTTTGAGACCAGCATGAGCAAAGTGAGACACCGTCTCTACTAAAAATAGAAAAACTAGGCTAGTACAATGGCTCACACCTATAATCCTAGCACTCTGAGACGCTGAGGTGGGTGGATTGCCTGAGCTCACAAGTTTGAGACCAGCCTGAGCAAGAACGAGACCCCATCTCTAAAAAATAGGCGCCTGTAGTCCCAGCTACTCGGGAGCCTGAGGCAAGAGAATCACTTGAGCCCAAGAGTTTGAAGTTGCTGTGAGCTATGACATCACCGCACTCTACCAAGGGTGACCAAATGAGACTCTGTCTCAAAAAAAATAAAAATAAAAATAGAAAACCTAGCCAGGCATTGTAACAGGTGCCTATAGTCCCAGCTACTCGGGAGGCTGAGACAAGAGGATTGCTTGAGCCCAAGAGTTTGAGGTTGTTGTGAGCTACAAAGCCTGCCACAGCACTCTACCCAGGGGGACAGAGTGAGACTCTGTAAAAAAAAAAAAATTTTTTTTTAATATTTCCTCACCTGGGCTCGGTGCCTGTGGCTCAAGTGGTTAAGGCTCCAGCCACATACACCTAAGGTGGCGGGTTCGAATCCAGCCCAGGCTCTCCAAAACAACAATGATGGCTGCAACCAAAAAATAGCCGGGCATTGTGGTGGGCGCCTGTGGTGCCAGCTACTTGGGAGGCTGAGGCAGGAGACTCGCTTGAGTCCAGGAGTTGGAGGTTGCTGTGAGCTGTGATGCCACAACACTCTACCCAGGGGGACAGCTTGAAGCTCTGTCTCAAAAAAAAAAAAAAAAATTTTCTCACCTGGATGCCCCCTACTGGCTGAAGTCAGATGTCTGCGCTCACATCCCAGCTTTGCCACTTCTGCAAGGTCTATAACCTGAAACTAGTCACACAGCCTCTTGGGGCTCAGTTTGAACATGCACAATGAAGACTAACAATAAGTCCTGCTGCAAAATTTGTTTAGTGAACTGGTAATATATAAAGTGCTTAGAAAAGGGCCTGGCACAAGGTAAGTCATATACAAGTATTACAAATGCTAAGATTACAGCTCTTTCCTGTCACTTGCTGGTTGTGAGACCTTGGACAACTTAAGGTTCTCTGGGCCTGTTTCCTCAACTGTAAAATGGAGATATTACTTCCTGTCCAAAAAGAGGGTGTGGCATATAGTAAAAGGTATATAGTTTTTTTATTTCATATGGGTTTCATATATTTATATTTTAATATTAAAGTATGTATTTACATATTTCATGTATGTGCACTTATACATATATTTGTATACACGTTTATGTGTATATATGCATGTTAGTGGTATATATGTATATTGATAAAAACGTATGCTTTTTTTTTGAGACAGAGTCTCACTTTGTCACCCTCAGTAGAGAGCTGTGGTATCATAGCTCACAGCAACCTCAAACTGTGGGCTTAAGCAATTCTCTTGCCTCAGCCTCCCGAGTAGCTGGAACTACAGGTGCCTGCCACAACGCTTGGCTGTTTTTAGAGACGGGGTCTTGTTCTTGCTCAGGCTGGTCTTGAACCGGTGATCTCAAGCAATCCACCCGCCTGGGCTTCCCACAGTGCTAATTACAGGCATGAGCCGCAGTGCCCTACCTTCCATTTTAGTATAAATATACAGAACCTCCATAGCTGACCACCTTCTCAAATTGAACTAATTTTCACACACTGGACTTGCACGTGTACATCTCAGTACAATAGGCCTATTCCTTATGTTGGTCTCCTCATTAGGTTGACCAGTTTGTTACAGTTCCTTGGGTGGTCAACTTACAGAGGTCCTGCATTCTAAATTTAAATGTACCGTATTTTGTACAATGGTAAATATAGAGACATGCACACATATATGCACTTGTATATGTAATGCTGGTAGATTTCAACATCCCCCAGAATCAAAATTCTCACACACCTTCTCCCTCGCCCCACCCCCCACCCCAAGGTGATTTTTCTGCACGTTGACGTTTACACACTGGAACTCAGAGGGTCTGGGTTTCAGAAACCACCACCCTATGGGAGCCCGCGGATTCATGCCCAACATGCCCATTCCTGCACGCTTGGTCTCAGACTGCCAAGGCAATTGGCAATGAGCATTGGTCCGGGAACGACAGCTAGGCCTTGTCTCCCTGCAGGTGTTCGGTTTCCTGAACCTGGTGCTCTGGGTCGGCAATCTGTGGTTCGTGTTTAAGGAGACAGGCTGGGCCGCCCCATTCCTGCGCGCGCCTCCTGGCGCCCCGGAGAAACAACCGGCACCCGGGGATGCCTACGGCGATGCGGGCTATGGGCAGGGCCCCGGCGGGTACGGGCCCCAGGACTCCTACGGGCCCCAGGGCGGCTACCAGCCCGACTACGGGCAGCCAGCGGGCGGCAGCGGCGGCGGCTACGGGCCTCAGGGCGACTATGGGCAGCAAGGCTACGGCCCGCAGGGTGCGCCCACCTCCTTCTCCAATCAGATGTAGTCTGGTGAGTGACGGGCGGGTGGCGCGGCCAAGGAGAGTACATAAAAGGAGACGAGCAGGCCAATGAACCAATAAAAGCCAGGGATGGACTGTAAAGCGTTTAGCTGGACAAGTAGGGACTGAAGTCAGAAGGCGCCAATAAGCGCTACAAGCAGAGAGCGGAAACCTAGCCAATGAATGGAGAACAGGAAAGTGGTGTTTGAAGATGGGCAGAATGAAGAACCAATGGGAAAGAGATAGGAGTGCAGCTCTGCGGGAAGAGAGGGGAAGAGAGAGAGCAGAGCGACCAATACTAGAAGAGAATAGCAGGGGGACTTGAGCAGTGGAGAATCAGAGGAGCGCTGGAGCCACCGATGGGAAGAGGAGGTGGGTCTTAGAAAATGACTGTTAAGCCAATAGGTCATAAGGCTAATAAATGATGAGGGTAAACCGCCTGGGTCTTGAAGGTCAGACGAGCTCACCAATCCGGGAGGAGGGGATAGATCCGCCACCTCGCCCCCGGTCCGGAAGCAAAGGAGGAAAAGCGCTGAGTTGGGAGCCTTGGAAAGGTTTGCCTGCCTTCTTAAAAGAGGAGTGAGATTTCCCGCAGATGTGAGGGGGAAGGCAGGGAGAAAAGGCTGAAGGAGAAGGCAGAGGGGTGACGTGACACCTCACGTGAATGGAAGTAGTTTCTGGCACTGAGTTAACAAAGATGGAAAGGGCAGGAATTTTATTAAGCACCCCACATCTAATTCATCAAAAAATGCTGTTGGCTCGGTGGCGCCCGCAGCTCAATGGGTAGGGCGCCGGCCACATACACTGAGGCTGGCGGGTTCGAACCCAGCCCGGGACAGCTAAAACAACAATGATAACTGCAACAAAAAATAACCGAGCGTTGTGGCAGACGCCTGTAGTCCCAGCTACTGGGGAGGCTGAGGCAAGAGAACCACTTAAGCCCAAGTGTTGGAGGTTGCTGTGACGCCAAGGCACTCTACCCAGGGCGACAACTTGAGACTCTTGTCTCAAACAACAACAAAAAAATGCTTTTGGCTGTATCTTCTAAATATGTTAATAATTTTCCCACTTCTCACTGTCATCTTCCCTGGACCTTTTCATAGGTGTCCACCTCCATTCCTATTCTGTCCTACTCACAGCATCAGGAAGGATTCTGAAAAATACTAAATTGGACTACACTCAGAACTCTTTCAGGGCTCCCATTTCACTCAAATTAAAAGCAGAAGTCTTCACTATGATCACAAGCCCTACCCCACCTCCACCTGTTTCAACCACACTAGTCACCTCAGTATTCTAGGCACAATTTGACTTCAGGGCCCATATACAGTATTTGCTTTCCCCTAGAGTTTCACATCCTCATACACTGGTAACTTTCCTGGCCAGCTCTCTTTCAACCTTTTGGTCACTTACTCTGTGAAGTCTTGCTTAACAACTCTGACTAAAACAAGTCCCATCTGTTATCTCTCCCCTAGTACCCTGGGCTTTTCTTTATCACACTCTGTAACTATTAGTTTATATGTTTATTGACTGTCTCTTCCACTAGACTTTAGGATAGGACCATGACATTCATGCTACAGCATCACTCAGAGATTTTTTTTTTTTTTTTTTGAGACAGAGTTTCACTTTATCACCCTCGGTAGAGTGCCGTAGCATCACAGCTCACAGCAACCTCCAACTCCTGGGCTTAGGCAATTCTCTTGCCTCAGCCTCCTGAGTAGCTGGGACTACAGGCGCCTGCCACTACGCCTGGCTATTTTTTTTGTTGCAATTTGGCCGGGGCCAGCGCCCTACCAACTGAGCCACAGGCACCACCAACCACTTAATGTTAGATAACATTTTATAGAGTAAATAATAGAAGCAACATAAGATGAGGCATTTTTCTCTCATTTTACTCTTTTCCACTCAAAATCATCTTATGGCTTACAAACTCATCTAGAGCCAAAGCTAAAGTCTCCACAGCCTCATCCACAAGAGCCTCTGTGACCCCATTACCTGACATTCTGACATCACATCCTACCGCTCTCCCCCTTGCTGACTCTACTTTTTGTTTTATTTTTCCATTTCATTTGTTTTCACCTTTTATTATGTGCCATGTATGAAGGCTGCCTCTTCACTGTATGAAGTCTGCCTCCCCCCTGCTACAGTGCAAGCTCCATAAAGACAGGGATCTTTGTTTTGTGAAATATAGTGTAACAGTGCAAGCTCCATAAAGACAGGGATCTTTGTTATGCCAAATATAGTATATCACCAATGGCTAAAACAGTACCTGTTAATGGAGTGTTTTTTGGTAGGGGACCACAATCTCTTTGGTACCTAATACAGTGGAGGCAAGATCAGGAATATCTTGCCTGTAGGAGCAGGTGGGGTGAAGCTGACTCCAGGACTATCAGTGAAAGAAAAAGGAAGAAAAGGCATGCCAGGCAGAGGGTAAAGCCGGGGTAAAGGCATAGCAGTCCAACCCCTCCCTGAGGGCACTGCCTGGTCTGGACCCACTCTTTTCTATGTCTTTTGTCTTTACAGGTCAGTGCAGCCCAGGAGCACCCCATGGGTAGGCAAAAGCTCAGGAGAAGGCCTGCCCCCCTTCTTATCCCTATACCCTAGGTCTCCACTCCTCAGCCAGGAGACCCTAACTGTCTTTGCTGTTTATATATATATATATTATATATAAATATCTATTTATCTGTCTGAGCCCCGCCCTCACCTCACTCCCTTCATGCACTAGGGGCGAGTCTTGAGTGGCCCCCTCTCTTACCCCTACCCCTTCCTCTGCATCCTTTGGTCCCTCCCTGTTCCTCATCCCTGTCCCCTGAGGTTAGGGGGCTCTGAAAGGGGTACAGAGAGGGGACAGACCTTGGCTGTGTGGGGAGGGTGGGTGTGACTTCAGACTCTCTCCCCTCTCTTTCTGCCCTCCTCCCAACTCTGGCCTTGGTTCTTTCAGCAATGCCTGAACAGAGGCCATTAGGGGAAATCCGACCACAGGGTGAAAGGCCGAGATTGGGGGGACTTGGGGTAAAGAAGACAGCTTAGGACCCAAGGTGGCCTTGTAGGGGAGCTCTGGATTAGAGGGGCCAGCAAGGGAGTCAGGTTCCAGACATACTGAATCTGTAGTCTAAAAGAGAGGAGTACCCTAGAGCATTCTGGGGTGGGGCTAGAAAGGAGACAGAGGGTATGGTTATAGAGGGGAGCAGGGCTTTGAGTGAGGTGACAGAATGAGCTACAGAGTGGAAGGTCTTGGACTGGGATCAGAGTCTGTGGAAGGTATATGGCTTGGAACACTCAGGAGTGTTGATTCTAAAGTGGACAGATCTTGGGCAGGGCAAGAAGCATGATTCAGTAATGGGCCAAGCTTGGGATGAGATCCTGGTCAGGGTTCCAGACAGAGATCAGCTTAGAGTGGGGCTTGTATGAGTGTTTCAGAAGGAACAGTCCCTCCCCAATGGAGCAGTGAAGAAAATGTTTTAAAGTGGATGGGTTTGGGCAGCAGGTTGAGAGGGAGAACTTGGTTAGGAGCTTCAGGATGTGTTTTGTAAGGGGTAGGTTGGAATGGCCCTGGCCAAGGCCAGGGAATGAGGTGGCCTGGGAGGAGCTGAAGGATAGATATATGTTGGAGTTTAAGGGGTGGAATCTAGAAACAAGCACACCCTACACCCTTCCCATCCAGTGACAAGATAAGCTATAAGCAAGGTAATCAGAGGACAGAGCAAATGGGTCTGTGGGCCTGACCTACCCCCTTCCCCCCCTTTCCTCTGCTCCCTTCCTCCCTCTCACCCCCACCCATCCTGTGGTGGTTGGAGGCCCGGTCTGGAGTTCCTATTTTGCACCCTCTGCTGCGTCTGTGATGTCAGTAGTGCCTGTGATTGTGTGTTGCCATTTTATTTGGCTGTGGCCCCTCCCTCTCCCCTGCAGACCCCCACCCTTTCCCACGCCCTTTGGTATTGTTTGAAGACTCCCCTCCCTAAGGAAGAACAAATATGATTAATTCTCCTCCCCCAAATAAACTCCTCAACCACCTAGTCCATCAGGCTCTGATTTCTCTGTGTGTCTTTCTTTTGGGAAACCTGAGGAGATAGAAGCAGGGCAAATATAAAGAAGCTCCGCCCTTGGCTGGGTGCCTGTGGCTCAGCAGCTAAGGCACCAGCCACAAACACTGGAGCTGGGGGGTTCGAACCCAGCCTGGGCCTGCCAAACAACAACGTCAACTACAACCAAAAAATAGCTGGATATTGTGGTGGGCGCCTGAGTTCCCAGCTACTTGGGAGGCTGAGGCAAAAGAATCTCTTAAGCCCAAGAGTTTGAGGTTACTGTGGGCTGTGATGCAACAGCACTCTACGAGGGCAACATAGTGAAACTCTATCTCAGAAAAAAAAAAAAAGAAAGAAAGAAAGAGGGCAGCACCTGTGGCTCAGTGGGTAGGGCCCCAGCCCCATATACCAAGGGTGGTGGTTCAAACCTGGACCAGGCTAAAGTGCAACGGAAAAATAGCTGGGCGTTGTGGTGGGCGCCTGTAGTCCCAGCTACTTGGGAGGCTGAGGCAAGAGAATCGCCTAAGCCCAGGAGGTGGAGGTTGCTGTGAGCTGTGTGACTGGGTAGAGTGCCAGGGCGATAAAGTAAGACTGTGTCTCTACAAAAATAAAAGAACTGACCTTCATGTTGCTGTACCATTTCAGGCCCCTCTACCGAATGGCTTCCTCTGTGAGCCCTCACCTGCCCATCATTCTGAGTCAGGCTGAGTATCCCTGCTAGCTGTCCCACTTCTACCTGCTGGGTGCCCAGTCTTTGGTTCTAATTCTGGTCCCTCAGCCATGCCCCTTCCTGGGTCCTGTGGACACCTCAGATCCCCAGAGAATCCCAGTAGAACCCCATACTTCACAGACAGGCTTCACCCTACCCGACTCCTCTGTATTTTACAGACCCTGCAGTCTCCTTGCCTCTGCCCCAACTGGAGAACCAAGACACCGGCTAAGCAACAAGGCCTGGAGGCGGGGCGCCCGGTGACTTCTTAGTTAACTAATTTGCTCATTCTCTTTTACTCCTCCCAGACTCTCCTCCCTGGGGCAAGGAGGTGCGGGAAGTGACTGGTTTGTATGTTAATGGAGGAAGTCCCCTGTGCGCACGATAAAAGGCCAGGCTGTAGGCTGCCGCTTCGGTGCCTAATTAAAGACCTCCGACAGGCGCCCGAGTTCTGACTGTGGGCGCAGGAACCCCTCTTCCCAGCCACAAGGCACAGCGGAGCCCGAGAATAGGAAGGAGGCTCCCAACCCTCCAACTGAGCTCAGAGAAGGAAATATCTAACTGGAGAGAGAAAATGCGGCGGGGGTGGGGGTCTTTAAGATCTACTCCTCAGGACTTAGGGGGAAAGAGCCAAAAAGAGAGTTTGGGAATCTGGCCAGAAACTTTACCCCCCTCCTCATAAATCTCAAATAGCCCTGGCTTTGAGAGAAAAATGAGAAAAATAGGGTGTGTATAAGACTTAGCTCTCTGAGGGCGGTGCCTGTGGCTCAAAGGAGTAGAGCGCCGGCCCCATATACCGGAGGTGGCAGGTTCAAACCCGGCCCCTACCGACTTAGCTCTCTGGTGGGGGTGAAGGAGCACCAACTGGGGCTACAGATGAGACCTGGACCACTCTTGCAGCATTCATCTGGGGGGAAAGACGCTCCAAACCTCACTAGTGGTGAGGGGGCTAAGAGGTGATTTTAACCCCTCCCGTAAAGAAGTACCCCTCTAAATAAACTGATACGAAGCATCAATACAAGCATCCTAGCGTGCCACCGCTTCCAATCAGGTTGCCACCTCCAAGTCCCCACCATCAGCACCACAGGGCCCTCAAGTCCCTAGAATGTCCCATGACAGGCCATGTGGCACACTGGGGTTCTGGGGTCCATGCCTAGTGATGCCCCAGCTCCTGGGCTGCGCGCAGCTCACCTCTAAGCAGGGGGCGCCTCGGTGGCGGCTGCAGTAAAAAAGAGACCACAGGCTGGGGTGGGGGGCGGGCTCTGCGGGGTGCGCTCCTCCCACGCGGGTGTCAGGTTTACGGAACAGAGCTCTTAGGCCGGACGCGCGGTGGCCAGACGGCTGCGAGGATTCCATTCGCCTGACCCGGCCTGACTTGACCGTACCCGGGAACGCCATGTTCGCGCGTGGGTCTCGGAGGCGCCGCTCTGGGCGTGCGGTGAGTGGGACTCAACGGCGGTGGGGGTAGGGGGTAAACTGTGACTCCGGCGATTGGGCAGGGGTTGGGATAGTGGAACAGACGCCCTGTAGAGGAGCTGGGGCTGCTGGAGGTGAGTGGGTGAAGGAACATGTAGGTCTGGTGGCCTGTGCTCCCTAATCACCTCTCCAAATACTTTTGTCAGCACCCCTGGGACCTGGTGCTCTCCCTTCTTTTGTGAATTGTAAGAGGGAATTCTGAAGGCCAAGAGATTGGGTCCTGGGTCTTGGGTTGAGCAGGGACCTCCTGAACTTCTGAGGGAGGGGCACTGTACCTTGGAGGAAGGTGAACTAAAGGATGAAGTCCTACTCTCCTGGCATGCCTGAATGCTGAGGATCAAGAAACTGAGTTTAAGGGGTAGAGGTCGTCCAGGCTTCTTCCACCTGAGCCAAGAAGCTTTGAACTTTTTTTTTTTTTTTCCGCTAAACCACCTGTAGCAGAAGCTTTAACTTCTTAGATAGGAGGGTCTCTCTTTTCTTCCTTTGGGAGGGGGTCTCTGAGGAGAGAAGCTGGGGTCTGGGTTTGGTGATCCAGAGAAGGAGTAAATAGCTCCAGGATATGAGGGGTAAAGATCAAAGTTTCTTGGGGTATGGGGTTTCTGAGTGGAGCAGAGGCTTCCAGTTCCTTGGGCACGAGGGAGTGAAGCCACTAGCAGCTCCTGAGCTTCTGAAGGGAAGAACAGGGTTCAAGAGGGGATCCCAAGGAAGGAAGTCTCTTGTCCTGTGGAATCGGAGTGCTGCTGGCCCCATGGGTGGAGAGGGGACAGAGATAAGGCCTAGAAGGGGATACCCAGATTAAGGACTCTGTGCTCTGGTGGGGAGAGCACTCTGAATTCTGAGGGGGGTGTTGGAGGCCTGGAAGGATCTAAGGCTGATGGGTGTCCTGCGGCTGGGGAAAGGGTGGTAAAGTTGACGGAAGGGTGGTTAGGCTCGGGTGGGGTAGTCCAAGGCCAGCCTAGAAAGGAAAATTCCCTGAAAGGGAGGCTTGCTGGGAGGTGGTCTCAGTTGCCCCGCCTCTGATTGTGTCCCCCTCCCCCGTCCTCTGGGTGCTGTCCCAGCCTGCCCAGTGCTGCCCTGGTGAGACAGGCCTCAACGTGCTGTTACTGGCCTTGGAGTGGAGGGGTGGGCGTTGACTTTTCCCTCCCTGCTTGCCTGGCCTTGCATCTGCCCCCGCCCACAGCAGCTTCCAGAGACTGAGGACCCTGACCGGGGCCAGCCCTGCAACTCCTGCAGGGAGCAATGCCCCGGCTTCCTGCTGCATGGCTGGAGGTAAGCGACCCCTCTACATAGCCTTTGTCAGAACTCTGCCTTTGGGAGAACCCCCCAGGTTTAGGCTTCTAGCCTATGGGGGGAGCTCGGTTGGGAAAAGAGCCTCACTCAGCTTCAGAGCCCTGCCCCCTGACTCATTCCCAGGAGTTCTCAGAAGAGCTCCACCCACTACACAGCCCCGCCCCCAGAAGATTCTCCCAAGCCTCCGAGTGGCATCCCTAGGGAGATGGCAGCACTGCTCACCGACCTCCCCCCATCCCCCACATTAGGCACAGAACTACTCTCCCAAACCCAGTGTCCCATCCTCCTCGTAGAGCCTTGCACCTAAAAAATCTCATAAAATACTACAGACAGCCCACAGTCCCCAGATTCAAGCCCTAACCCGGGCCTCATCACAGTCTAGAGCCTTGCCTCTTGGGAAAGTTCCCCCACGAAGTCCAGAGGCTTTCCTGAGGGAGAGAGCCCCTAGATTTAGAATTCCAATCTCAGCTTGGGAGCCCCGCCCCTACTTAGGCCAGCTGCTGGGAGAGTGTGACATAGTTCCAGAGCTGAAAGGTTAGGGGTTGTCTTTGAGACTCCACAGCCCCACCCCTTCACATCCTGTGCCCTGGCTCACAGCCCCACCCCTAGTTCATAGCTATGCCCTGCTCTGCCTGTGTCTGACAGCTGGAAGCTGAGCCTCCCACAGCCATGTGACCTTAGCTCATAGACTCTTCACCTCCTGTCATCCCTACTCCCAGACCCAGGACCCTTTGGTGGTGATAATCTGCATGTCCCTGCCCCTCAGTTGGACTTGGGCTGCTGAGGGATCTGAGTGAGCAACCCCTTAGTAATTGACTCCTATCCTGGCCCTCCCCAGAAAGATCTGCCAGCACTGCAAATGCCCACGGGAGGAGCACGCAGTTCACGTGGTACCTATGGACCTGGAACGTATCATGTGTCGGCTAATCTCAGACTTCCAGCGCCACTCCATCTCTGACGATGACTCGGGCTGTGCATCAGAGGAGTATGCCTGGGTGCCTCCAGGCCTTAAGCCTGAGCAGGTGACCAGAGGCTGGCCACCCACTCTTGCTGTCTAGTGGGTGCACGCGCGCGCGCACACACACACACACACACACACACACACTCAAGTGGGAACCTATTTCTGGGGTAACACTGGTGTGGTCAGACTGAGGGCTATTCTGACCCATCTGTGATTGAGGGATGGTCAGGTCCCCACACCTCACAGGGAACCCTGAGTGATCATGGGACCAGTTCCTCAGGGCCTTTTCACTCCACTCCTATCCTTTACCTCAGGCTTTATCCCAGTACTTCATTCACCAAGTCCTCATTGATTGATTCATTCAACAAATAGTTATGGAGCATCTACGGCAGGTCACACACTGTGCTGAGGACACAGCAGTGAACAGAACACAAAATGACATATTGCCCAAATCAAGGTTAGATTCCCATAAGGGAAACAGCCAATAAACAACCCTATTAATATATGTCAGATGGTGGAAGGGCTGTGGAATAAAAAGGAAGGGAAGTGAGGCCAGGGGCAGTGGCTCATACCTGTAATCCTCACACTCTGTGAGGCCAAGGAGGGTGGATTGCTTGAGCTCATGAGTTAGAGACCAGCCTGAGCAAGAGCAAGACCCTGTCTCTACTAAAGATAGAAAAATAACTGAGGCCAAGAGGATCGCTTGAGCCCAAGAGTTTGAGGTTGCTGTAAGCTAATGATGCCAGGGCACCACTCTACCCAGGTCTCAGCTTGAGACTCTGTTTCAAAAAAAAAAAAAAAGAGGCTCAACGCCTGTAGCTCAAAAGCTTGGGCACCAGCCACATACACTGGAGCTGACCAGTTTGAATCCACCCTGGGCCCGCCAAACAATGACAACTACAACCAAAAAGTAGCTGGGTGTTGTGGCGGATGCCTATATGCTCCCAGCTACTTGGGAGGCTGAAGCAAGAGAATCGCTTAAGCCCAAGAGCTGGAGGTTTCTGTGAGCTGTGACGCCATGGAACTCTACCCAGGGCAACATAGTGAGACTGTCTCAAAAAAAAGAAGAAGAAAGGGACCCAAGGTGATGAAAGAGAGAGAGAGAGACTGGCATTGTTAATGGGGTGCCCAGGTAAGCCTCTAAGAATTTAATATTTGAGCTACCCTAAAGTAGGTGAAGACGTGAGACAGGCAGATCGCTGGGGTTAGAGCAGGCATCCTCAAACTGCGGCCCACCGAGGACATTTATCCAGCCTGCCAGGTGTTTTTGCCACTGCTGCCTGTCCTGCTTAGCAGCCAACTTGTCCCAGAGCCCGCAGTCTGGCCCTCCACCGGTCTGAGGGACAGTGAACTGGCCCCCTGTTTAAAAAGTCCGAGGACCCCTGGGTTAGAGCGATTCAGGCAAAATGAATAACTAATGTCAAGGCCCTTAGGCAGGAATATGCTTGGCATGTGGAAAGGACAGTGAGGCCAGTGCTGCTGAAACAGAGTGAGGGCAGGGGAGAACAGCTGGGGGTGAGGTCAGAGAGGTGGTAGGGCCATAAAAAGGACTTTGACCTTGATTCTGAATGAGAGGAAAGCTGCAAGGGGGTTGTGAGGAGAGGAGGGACATGATTTGGCTGCTGACTGTAGAGCAGCATTGGAGTGAGGGTGGAAGTGGGTGACCAGAGAGGAGGAAGCTACTGCAGTAGCTTGGGGGATTGATGATGGTGCTGGCAATGGAAGCAATAAGACATGGTCACATTGGCTCGGCGCCTGTGGCTCAAGCGGCTAAGGCACCAGCCACATACACCTAAGGTGGCGGGTTCGAATCCCCAGCCCGGCCCGCCAAACAACAATGATGTCTGCAACTAAAAAATGGCCGGGCGTTGTGGCGGGCGCCTGTAGTCCCAGCTACTTGGGAGGCTGAGGCAGGAGACTCGCTTGAGCCCAGGAGTTGGAGGTTGCTGTGAGCTGTGATGCCATGGCATTCTACCCAGGGGGATAGTTGAGGCTCCGTCTCAAAAAAAAAAAAAAAAGACATGGTCAGATTCTGGATATATTTTAAAACTAGAGCTAAGAGGACTTGCTTGTGGGAGTGAAAGCGAGAGGAGTGAAAGACGACCTCAAGGATAGCAGGTGAACTTGTGTGGGAAAGGGAAAGGCAGGAGCAAGTTTGAGGGTTAAGAGCATAAGTTTGGCCACCTGGAGTTTGAGGTGACTGTTAGACATTTGAGTGGCCACATTGCCTAGAACTCAAGGGACAGGTGACAGGACTAGAGATATGCATTTGGAACACATTAGCCACATATTTATAGCCATGAGGTTGGATGTAATTCTCAAGGGTGTGAATGTCAACAAAGGCAAGAGGACCAAGAACTAAACCCTAGGATCCTTCCACATTTCAGGGTTGACTAGTTGAGGAGCCAAAAGAGGGACAGAGAAAAGCAGCCAATAAGGTAGGAGGAAAATGAGGGCTGTGTGCTGTCCTGGGAACAAGGGAAGAAAACGTTTACAGAGGCTTGGCCCCATAGCACAGTGATTACGGTGCCAGCCATATACCCCTAGGGTGGTGGGTTTGAACCCGACCCGGGCCAACTAAACAACTGCAACACAAAAATAGCCAGGCGTTGTGGTGGGCACCTGTAGTCCCAGCTACTTTGGAGGCTGAGGCAAGAGAATTGCTTAAGCCCAAGAGTTTGAGGTTGCTGTGAGCTGTGGCGCCACAGCACTCTACTGAGGGCAACATAGTGAGACTCTGTCTCAAATAAAAAAGAGAAAGAGAATGTTTACAGGGAGGAGTGATCACCTGGGTCCAGGGTAATGATAGGTCAAGTCCCATGAGGACTGAGACATGGACAAGAATTTTAACAATGTGGACGTCATCAATGACCTTGACAGCTTTGAAGGACAGGTGGGGGCAAAAGCCTGACTGGAGAAGGCTCCAGAGAGAATGGGGGGAAGGAAGTGGAGTGCTCACAACTTTTGAAGAATTTTGCTATGAAGGGGAGGAGAAAAGTGGAATAGCAGCTGGAGGAGGAAGTGGGGTCAAGAGCTGAGGAAACTCTCAGCATGTTTGGATCTAAAGGAAATGATCTGACCTTTCAGAAGTCCCTCCTGGTGACTTAAATTTTCTCAGAGAAGTGTGGACCCACCATCTCACTGCATCCCAACTCATCCCTAATCTCAATGATATTCTCCCACTCCTGATGTCCTCCCAGGTATATCAGTTTTTTAGCTGCCTCCCAGAGGACAAGGTCCCCTACGTCAACAGTCCTGGGGAAAAATACAGGATCAAACAGCTACTGCACCAACTGCCCCCACACGACAGTGAGGTAAGGAGACAGAAGACAGGTACTGCCTGGGCAAATGCAGGGCAGCTGTTAAGAAATGAGCAGGGTCGGCTCAGCGCCTGTGGCTCAAGCGGCTAAGGCGCCAGCCACATACAACTAAGATAGCAGGTTCAAATCCAGCCCGGGCCCGCCAAACAACAATAATGGCTGCAACCAAAAAATGGCCAGGCGTTGTGGCAGGCGCCTGTGGTCCCAGCTGCTTGGGAGGCGGAGGCAGGAGACTCGCTTGAGCCCAGGAGTTGGAGGTTGCTGTGAGCAGTGAAGCCATGGCACTCTACCCAGGGGGACAGCTTGAGGCTCTGTCTCAAAAAAAAAAAAAAAAAGAAATGAGCAGGGTCATAGGAGGAAAGGTGAGCTGATCTGAGATGAGAGTTCTGGACAGCCAGGGGCTTTCAAGGGAACATTCCTTAGCAGAACCACAGCTGAGCCTTGGATTAAGAAGTGGGTGTTTCAGGCAGAAAGCACTAGCTATACAAAGGGATAGTAGTAAACTTTCTGGGCATGAGGGCGGTGCCTGTGGCTAATTGAGTAGGGCACTGTTCCCATACACCAAGGGTGGCGGGTTCAAACCCAGCCCCTGCCAAACTGCAACAAAAAAATAGTCAGGTGTTATGGCGGGCGTCTGTAGTCCCAGCTACTCAGGAGGCTGAGGCAAAAGAATCACCTAAGCCCAAGAGCTGGAGGTTGCTGTGAGCTGAGACACCACAGCACTCTACCGAGGGCAACAGAGTGAGACTCTGTCTCTAAAAAAATAAAAATTTAAAAAAAAAAAACTTTCCTGGCATGGATGAAGTCTGAAAGTGGACAGGGGCAAGGCCTTAAGGGAAAAGCCTAGAAGACCTCTATCCCCCCCAGGCCCAGTACTGCACAGCACTGGAAGAGGAAGAGAAGAAAGAGCTTCGAGCCTTTAGCCAACAGCGGAAGCGGGAGAATCTGGGGCGCGGCACTGTGCGCATCTTCCCCGTGACCATCACTGGGGCCATCTGTGAGGAGGTGAGCCACAGAGGACCTTGGTAAGGGAGTAATTCCCTTGCTACAAGCCCTGGGGTACAGGTCCTATCTCCCAAGTTCTGGGAAGATAAGTTTTGTCTGCCCTTTAAGCCCCAGTGATCTATCTCCGAGGCCCTCCTCCTAATGAGATACATCTCTAGAGCCCTCTGATGGATAGGACCCATCTCTCAGATCCCACTGTTCAGTGCCATTTATCTCTAAGGAGGCCCTAGTTTGCCTTCTCTATGGACTTTGCCCCTCCATGCAGTGAACATGGGGTATGAGCTCTCTCTGGACCTCTTGTGGTCAGAACTTGTCTTTAAGAACTGAAACACAGGCTCGGTGCCTGTGGCTCAACTGGCTAAGACGCCAGCCACATACACCTAAGGTGGCGGGTTCGAATCCCCAGCCTGGGCCCGCCAAACAACAATGATGGCTGCAACCAAAAAATGGCCAGCGCTGTGGCGGGCGCCTGTAGTCCCAGCTACTTGGGAGGCTGAGGCAGGAGACTCGCTTGAGCCCAGGAGTTGGAGGTTGCTGTGAGCTGTGAGGCCATGGCACTCTACCCAGGGGGTAGCTTGAGGCTCCGTCTCAAAAAAAAAAAAATAAGAACTGAAACACAGTGGCAGGGCCTGTCTCTAGAGCCCAGTAGTGAGTGGGGTAGGCTTGCCTATATATCCCACTATTAGGTGAGGTCTGAGTGAGTGGAGACTATCTCTATGCTTCCCCCACTGGGCCTGACCTGTCTCTATGTCATCCCCACTGTGGGAGAGGCTAGCCTGTAAGGCCACCCGTGATGATAGGGCCCATCTGTATGGCTTCCTTTGTGGGCAGGGTCAGTCTCTAACATGCCCCCCCAACTGCAACTCCTGTGATAGGCCCAGTCCATCACAAAGGTTCACCATGGGGAAGGCCCAAGGATAACATGCCTTGGCTGATCTCATCCATCTGGCTATCTTGGTGATGGTGACAGTGTCTATCTGTTCCATGGCAGTGTGGGAAGCAGATTGGAGGTGGGGACATCGCAGTGTTTGCCAGCCGTGCAGGCCTGGGTGCCTGCTGGCATCCACAGTGCTTTGTGTGTACCACATGCCGGGAGCTACTTGTTGACCTCATCTACTTCTATCATGCTGGCAAGGTCTACTGTGGACGCCACCATGCTGAACGCCTGCGTCCACGCTGCCAAGCCTGTGACGAGGTTTGGGCCTCCCTACTCAGGGGTGGGAGTAGGGGTAAGGCAGGGTGGGAGGCAGGTCTTTCTGACAGCCACAGATGGCCTTTGCCCTCCAGATCATCTTCTCCCCTGAGTGCACGGAAGCTGAGGGCCAACACTGGCACATGGGTCACTTCTGCTGCTTTGAGTGTGAAGCTTCCCTAGGAGGGCAGCGCTATGTCATGCGTCAGAGCCGTCCCCACTGCTGTGCCTGCTATGAGGCCCGCCATGCGGAATACTGTGATGGCTGTGGGGAGCACATTGGTGGGTAAACATGGTGGGATGGATGGACAGCTGGGCCATAGCCCCACCCCACCAAGATTCCTCTTCTCCTCTAAGTCCCCACACCCTTCACTGTAAGTCCACTCCCAGTGTCTCTCACTGTGCCATACTTTATAAACCTCACACCTGCACACTAGGCCACCACTACACATCCAGACCCAGATGCAGGGTCCTTCTAAATCCCACCACCCAAGACTACCTTCTAGCTCAGCCTCTACCACACCAAGCTATGCCCAGTTCTCTTCCACTCTCATCCATCCATCTAGGTCACAGCCTACTCTCGAGCTCAGTGTTTTTCAACCTTTTTTTATCTCACAGCACACTTGAACCTATAAACTCCTTAAATTATGTTGATCAAAAAAAAAAAAAGCATTAAGGTCGCACCTGTTGCTCAGTGGGTAGAGCGCCAGCCACATACACCGAGGCTGGCGGGTTTGAAACTGGCCCTGGCCAGCTAAAGCAACAATGACAACTGCAACAACAACAAAAAGCTAGGCATTGTGGCAGGCGCATGTAGTTCCAGCTACTTGGGAGGCTGAGGCAAGAAAATCGCTTAAGCCCAAGAGTTTGAGGTTGCTATAAGCTGTGATGCCACAGCACTCTACCAAGAGCAACAAAGTGAGACTGTGTCTCCAAAAAATAAATAAATAAAAATAGAAAAATTATCCAGGCGTGATGGCAGGTACCTGTAGTCCCAGTTGCTTGGGGGGCTGAAGGAAGAGGATGGCTTGAGCCCAAGAGTTTGAGCTTGCTGTAAGCTATGACTCTTGTCTCAAAAAAAAAAAAAAAAAAGTAATATATGTACTATGCTTTGATCTTTCAAAAATAATTTCATTAATGATCTTTAAAAGTTTTCACAGCACACCAGTTGAAAATCACTGCTGCAGTTCCACCTTACTTCCTAAGACTCACTCCTTTCCAACCAAGGCCATGTCTTCCCTTTAAGCTCTGCCTCTACCACTCAGGCCACTTCAGGTCTAGCCTTCACTCTTCCTTCTTCCTGAAGCCACCCCTTAATGTCTAAGCCTGGCCCACCCCTACTCTGGTAGGGAGCACCTGGGAAAGACAGTGGGAGGGAGACATTTACCAGCCAGCCCCCAGAAGAGAATGAAGAACCTTGGGGTGAGGACCAAACCTCTAGTTTCTTGCTTTCTCCAGAGAAGGGTCTTTTTGGAGTAGGGAGAGGGCATCTTGGGATACCCTCCTTCAGTTCCCCAACCCTTCCCAAGAAGGTCCCCATTCGTGGAAGGGGGTAATCCTGGGCCTTCTGCCTCAGTTTCCCCCTTGTGTTGGTCCCCACAGGCCTGGACCAGGGCCAGATGGCTTACGAGGGCCAGCACTGGCATGCCTCCGACCGCTGCTTTTGCTGTAGCCGCTGCAGGCGGGCCCTGCTGGGGCGCCCCTTCCTGCCACGCAGTGGCCTAATCTTCTGCTCTCGAGCCTGCAGCCTTGGGTCTGAGCCCACCACTCCCGGGCCCAGCCGACGTAGCTGGAGTGCAGGCACAGTCACTGCACCGCTAGCAGACTCCACAGCCTCTTATTCTGCAGCGGAGGGGGCGTCCAACATGGCTACCAAGGACACTTGTGTGGAATCCCCTCCTGGTAAGCTAAGCTAACCCCCAGCCATGCCCATCCGCAGCCCCATGCCCCTCACCCCACCCCCTGTCTCAACTTTGGCCCTTTCCCATGACTCACCCAGGCCCTACACCTACTGCATCGCTGCCCTCTCTCCACATTTCAGCCCTCCCCCTTACCCACACTATTCCATACCTAGTCTCCAGCCCACCTCTTGAGACTTGGTTTCACCCTGCTTCTGTACAGGGCCAGTCTCCTTCCTTAACTTGTCCCTGCTTGATCCCAAGTCCTCCAGCCGGTCACCTTCCACCCACCCAGGCCCCACCCCATTCTATCCCAAACCAAATATACTCCAGCCAAGGCCGCGCCCCTTCTATCCAAAGCTATGTCCCCAGTCCATCTTGCTGTTTTTGTGTTCTTACTTCCCAACCTCTCTCCACTCAGCGCCTGTTCCAAGCCTCATATTTCCCAGACTTTTCGTCTCCCTGTCTCCTACTCCTGCCGGTACAGGAGACCCTCCATCTCTCCCTTTCCAGCTTCAGGCCCTGAGGAGCCCTCCCGTTTTCTGAGAGGGGCCCCCCAACGCCACTCCATGCCAGAGCTGGGGCTCCGCAGTGCCCCAGAGCCACCCTCAGAGTCCCCCGGCCAACCAAATACACACATGGATGATAGTGCCTTCGGTCGTCAGAGCACCCCACGCGTCAGCTTCCGTGACCCTCTGGTGTTTGAAGGAGGTCCACGGCGGACCCTGAGTGCGCCCCCAGCCCAGCGCCGAAGGCCACGCAGTCCCCCACCCAGGGCCCGCGGTCGCCGCCACCACCACCACCACCGCCGCCGCCACCATCGCCACCCCGGAAGACATCACCACTATCAGTGTGACTTGGGATCAGGGTCAGATTCAGGATCTTGCTCTAGCTCACCCTCCAGTTCCAGTTCTGAGTCTTCAGAAGATGATGGCTTCTTCCTAGGAGAACGAATCCCACTGCCCCCGCAGCTGTGCAGGCCCAAGCCCGCTCAGGACACTACACCTGAGTCTCTCAACACCCCCTCCTCGCCACTGTCTGGGGATTCTCACCCGGGTATGTCTCGACAGGCCCGAGACAAGAACTGCATAGTAGCTTGAAGGCAGGTAGCCCTGGAGGGGCTCCATTCTCCAGTCAGTGGTATTGATAACTCCCAACCTGTCATAAAGCCCCTTCCTTCCTCCTTGATTCTATTGTATTATTGAAGTAATTTAACATTCATTGTAAAATGAGGTTACCTTCTTGCCCCAGCCACCACTCCTCAATTTGCCCCTCCTCACTTCCCCCTCCTGATGCTTGAGATTTATTCATATTTGATCAAAGGATTTACTTTACTCATTGTATATTTTAATAATCTATTTATTTATCCCTCCACAGAACCACTCCCCACAGCAAGGAGATTATTTAGAGTGGGTTACAACTGGGGCCTGGAATCTGCAGTGTAAGGTGCCTTGTTCCCTCATTTTATGGCTTAGGTGGGGGTATGGTTTAGGCAGAACTGGTGTCTCTGCTGGAGAAGGAAGGAGGACCTAGGCATGCCCATAAAAGTGGCCACATGCCGGAAGGTTGATTGGCAGGCTGGAAAACAAAATTCTCCCAATAAAGGCACTTTTGCCTCAATAGAAGGCTGGGAATTGGTAGGGAGTGTTACAGGGGTGGGCTTATTTGGATGGAGGACTTATTTGCAAGTTGCAGAGAGAAATGAGAAGAGTTCGCCTACACTGGACCATCTGCAGGTTCTGCAAGTGAGGAAAAGAGAAAGCATTGGCTGGATCCATATTCCCATTTTACAGATAACAATACTGACACTTATGGTACCTACTGATACAAAAGCCATAAGTACCAAAAAGGAACAGAATTGTCATGCATACCTTTAGGAGATCCCTTTCCTTTTTTCCTCTGCCCTTTCATCAACCCCCCTACACAAAGACACACATATACCCCCACACACACACTTACCAGTGGGCGCTGCTGTATGTTTTTGCTGCCTTAAAGGGAAAGTGACGTAGGCATCATACCCAAAAAGGCATGTAGCGATTAGGCCCAGTACCTAGTGGCAGAGTGGGAGTGAGGAGGATTAGATTAGGTGGTCAGGCTACTTGGCCTCTTAGCTCTTTGTATTTGGCACTGTCAGCAAGCCCTACAGAAGGGCTGAGAGACTGGATTCTAGCATACCCTCCTAATACCTCTGAACACAGGGCAGCTACACCATGGCCCCACATGTATGGGGCACAATTCACATTACATTTGAGACAAAGTTCTGCAAAATTCTAGTAGATGGTAGTCTAGTGTGTTGATAAGGGAGCCACCTGTTTGCACTTCCCAGAAAGGTACTTGTGCTGGACAAGGGAAAGCCCTTCACAGCAAATGAAGATCTTTAGAGGCAAAACCTGGACCTGAGCAAAACTTTCCTGCAGGCCTTGAGGGCATATCTGGCCTGCTGTGGGTCTCTCACTTTCTGCCAGGAGCACAGGCAGGAATGTGTTCCCTCCCCATCCTCAAACTCTTCTCTCTTTGATTTGGAGCTGCCTCCATGGCCATTACCCCAGCAACGATTTTAGAGGGATTTCCTCTCTCAATAAGGACAACAATGGAGGTGATCAGGTAGAGGATCGCCCCAATGAGGGTTCGGAAGAAATCCTGTGAGATAAAGAAGAGGAAAATCAGCATCCAGAGTTCCCTGGACAACACTAACTACCCAAGCGCCTCCCCAGCCCTGCCATTGTTCACCCCCGTCTCACACTCCAGGGCCAATTGATGAGTGGTATCTTGGTGTTCAGGTCACACATGTAGATGACAAAGAAGATAGCAGCAAAGATCATTTCAATCACCGACAGGGAGGAATACCCTGGTGTGGAGGCACTGAAGCAGATCAGAATTACCAGGCACAATATCTGAAAGGGTGACACAGGAAGGGGGGGCCTCCATCAGCTCCCAGCTGAGGAAATTGATTTAAATTGGAGGGTCCCAGCCTACTAGGACTGGGAAAATAACACAATAATAGCTACACTTTTGTGTGCTGTGTTCCAAACTCACTTATTCACCACAATAATCTAATGAACTGGGAACTACTATTAATATCTCTCTCTCTGTTTTTTTTAGAGACAGTTTCACTTTGTTGCCCTCGGTAGAGTGCGGTGGTGTCACAGCTCACAGCAACCTCCAGCTCTTGGGCTTAGGTGATTCTCTTGCTTCAGCCTCCCAAATAGCTGGAACTACAGGTGCCCGCTACAACGCCCGGCTATTTTTTGTTGAAGTTTGGCTGGGGGCCGGGTTTGAATCCATCACCCTCCATATATGGGGCCGGAGCCCTACTCACTGAGCCACAGGCGCCGCTCTACATATATATTTTTTGAGACAGTCTCACTTTGTCGCCTTCAGTAGAGTGCTGTGGTGTCACAGCTCCCAGCAACCTCAAACTCTTGGGCTCAAGCAATTCTCTTGTCTCAGCCTCCCAAGTAGCTGGGACTACAGGTACCCACGACAACACATGGCTATTTTTTAGAGACGGGGGTCTCGCACTTGCTCAGGCTGGTCTCGAACCTGTGAGCTCAGTCAATCCGCCTACCCCAGCCTTCCAGAATGCTAGGATTACAGGCATGAGCCACCGCGCCCAGCCTTAATATCTCTATTTTATCGATGGAAAACGTGTGGCATAGAGAGGTTAAATGGCTTGCCTAGGGTCACCCTGCGAGCAAGGTGTGTGGACTTGGGTTTCTCAGTTTCCTCCCTTTTCCATTCTACGATATGGGCAGAGGATACTCAGAGGAGTGGCTCTGCCAGGTGTTTTGTGAGCATCGCTGGCGCCAGTTTCTTGGCCTTGAAGGAGTGGGACAAGCAGTTCCCTGGGCAACTCCTTTGGGAAACCGTGAGAGTGACACCGGAGGGGCAGGGCTTCGTTAAAGGCGCCGCACTCCTTTTACAAGTCACTCAAAGGCGGCGCCCACTTAGAGGTGGAGCGAGAAACCAAGGCTCCAGAGAGGCTCAAAAAGCTAAGAAGAACATCCCGCGTGGCCCCAGAAAGGCGAGGAAGAACTGGGGAAGGGTGAGGCGCCCTACCCTGCGGGACTAACGCACGAGCCCCACCCCATCAAGCCCCGCCCCGGGCGCGCTGCCAGCCCGCCCGCCAGTACCCAGGCAGCGCCACGCCCTGCCACGGGAGGCCCCTACTTCCCACCCCCTGGACCCCCTCATTGAGTCCACTGATGCGTCCACGCGGGCTTCCCCAACGAAGCCCCCATATGCGTTATAGGCCTTGCCTTACCCCATGAGCCACCAGTTTTTCGACCACCCTCTCCAAACCCCACTGACTCACCCTGCGCCCCCACTTTCAGACGTCCACCAGAACACACCCACTGGCGCCCCTTGCCGAGTGCCCCGGCCTCATGCCTGCCTCACCCCAGACTGTCCAGTCCCTCGTGGACCAGCCACACTACCCGCTGCCTTTGCCCACCCGCCTGTCCCAATACGCTCACAATCTCAGCCAAGAGGAGAACCCCCTTTCGGGTGCGCGAGAAGTTGGTGCAGGCGGCCCAGCAACCAGGGGCTGAGAGGCGCTCAGAATCCGCCATGGCATGGGCTAGAGTCCTTGCGGGTGCGGAGGATCTGCTCACTTGCTCGCGGGTTCGAGGACGCTGCACACCCAGCCGTCTTGCCCGCTGTCTGGCCGGGAAGGGGGCCCCCGGGGCGAAGGAGGGAGTGAATCACCGCGCGGAGCAGAAGCGGGCGGGGCCGGAGGGGGCCGGGCCAGGTGGCTGCCGCCCCGGAAACCCCCTCGCCCCGCCCGCTGAGGATCCACCCAGCCTGGTCCACAGACCCCAGGGCGCCCCATCTCCGGGGTGCTTGGCAACTCGGGTACCACGCGCAGTAATGGAGCGACCCTTCACCTTTTTGGAATACGGGAATCAGGCTTTGGGAGGAATCTGACTTGGTTTCCTTAGCTGAGAAACTGCCTGGGCCATGATTAAACCCTAAAGCCTCAGGACCTAGTACGTTTCCAGAAATCCGAATATTTTTGGTTTTAGAAAGTTTTCACCTTGCGTATACTCTCAGCAAGGTTTGGGGCTGCCGCGTTAAAAAAAAAAAAAAAAGTCAACATTGCCTCAGAAAGAGATGTGAAAGTTCACAGTAAGTGGATAAGTAAGAACTGAAAATTGTTCCTCATTAGGTCAGGTCAGATTTTGTAATCAAATGGTGCCAAACTTGTGGGGGAAACAGTCTGTTTCTAGAGCTTTGGGGGCTTCAGAATTGCGGATAAAGGATCATGGACTGTGGAATAAAAAAAATTTTTTTTGAGACAGTCTCACTTTGTCACCATGGGTAGAGGGCCTGGCGTCATAGCTCACAGCAACCTCAAACTCTTTGGCTTAAGCCATTCTCTTGCCTCATCCTCCCAAGTAGCTGGGACCACAGACACACTGCCACAATGCCCACCTATTTTTAGAGACGAGGTTTTGCTCTGGCTCAGGCCAGTGTTGAACCTATGAGCTCAGGCAACCACCCTCCCTGGCCTCCCCGAGTGCTAGGATTACAAGCCTGAGCCACCACACTCAGCCTGGAATAAATCTCTTAGCAGTGATGACACCCTGCTGCAGATGCAGAGAGAGAGCAAGGCCTGGTGAGCATGGAGCTGCTCCGTAGGTGGGGCAGGCATTGTTTGTTAACCTGGAGCCCAGGGAGCCAAGGTCTCTCTCATTCTGTGCTCTGAAACCCCAGGGAAGTCCTGGCCCTAAATTCTGGGCCCCGGTTTTCTTGGTTCTAAGGGTAGGAACCAGCTAGCCCTACATGAGGAATGGTGAAGTTTATTGCCAGGTACTTGGTAAGATGAAGGGGAGGAGATGGTTCCTGGGGTACAAGGCTAAGTGATGAAGCCGAAGACATTTGCAGAGTCTGTTAATTTGAGCAAGAAATTTCTTCCAGTTCAGTCTTAATTTCTGAATCTGAGACTTAACACCTGGTCACCTGGAATCAGGAGATAGGAAGTGCAGGGGGATTCAATCTCCAGGCTGGATGTTGGTTTTTTCATTTCATTTGAGGTGGGGAAAGTTCAACTCAAGGGCTTGCCTTCTCTCCTCTTCTCAAACACAGGGTCCCTCAAAACAAAGGAAGGCGTTCTTGTCTTTCAGTCCTAGCTGCTGAAAGAGTGACTGAATAGTGGAGGGGATGAAACTTGCTTCTCTCAGTGCTGAGTATGTGCTTCCTGATTCTGTAAGGACATGCCTAATTTAATAAAACAAGATAAACTAGGTCCCACCTCAAAGCATTTGTACTTAATGTTCCCACTGCTGTCAGTGTCTTCCCCCCAGCTCTTCATACCTCTGGCTTCTGGTCATTCAGGACCCATCTCAATTGTCATGTCTTCAAAGAGGACAGAAGCCCACCATCATCTCCCCAAACATAACCTCATTTTGCTAGATTCATACCTCTTGAATCACTCTGAAAGTATTTTTTTAAAATTAATTTTCTTGTCTTTCCTGTCTGACATCCGTCTACCCCATTACATCAGCTCTTTATGTCCTGTTCTCCCAGCATTTGCACAGTACCTATCACAATGCAGGGCATATACAGCTGGGGTCCACTTTTTTTTGCTTTGAGGTAGAGTCTCACTTTATCACCTGGGCAAAGTGCCATGGCACCATAGCTCTCAGCCTCCCAAGTAGCTGGGATTACAGGCACCTGCCAAAACTCTTGGCTAATTTTTCTTTTCTTTTTTTTTTTTTTTTTTAGAGACAGTCTCACTTTCTCGCTCTCGGTAGAGTGCCGTAGTGTCACAGCTCACAGCAACCCCCAGCTCTTGGGCTTAGGCGATTCTCTTGCCTCAGCCTCCCAAGTAGTGGGACCACAGGCACCCACCATAATGCCCGGCTACTTTTTGTTGCAGTTTGGCTGGGGCCAAGTTTGAACCTGCCACCTTTGGGGCTGGAGCCCTACTTACTGAGCCACAGGTGCCACCCTAATTTTTCTATTTTTAATAGAGATAGGGTCTTGCTCTTGCTCAGGCTGGTCTCAAACTCCTGAGCTCAGGGAGTCCACCCCCCTTGGCCTCTCAGAGTTCTAGGATTACAGGCATGAGACACCTCACCCAGCCCGCTGAGATTTAATTAATAATTGTCAACCAGCCTGGGGAACATAGGGAGACCCTGTCTTTACAAAAAAATTAAAAATTAGCCAAGCATAGTGGCATAAACCTGTAATTCCAGCTACTTAGGAGGCTGAGGCAAGAGGATCACTTGAGTGAGCCCAGGAGTTTGAGGTTATAATGAGCTATGATCATGCCACTACACTCCAGCCTAGGGAACAGAACTAGGCCCTGTCCCTCCTCCTTCCCCCAAAATTGTTAAATTTGGGTGAAATTGGGCTAGGCACGGTGGCTCATGCCTGTAATCCTAGCACTTGGGAGGCCGTGACGGGTGGATTGCCTGAGCTCACAGGTTCAAATCAGCCTGAGCCAGAGGGAGACCTCATCTCTAAAAAATAGCTGAGCATTGTGGTGTGCTCCTGTAATCCCAGCTACTGAGGAGGCTGAGACAAGAGAATCGCTTGAGCCTAAGAGTTGGAGGTTGCTGTGAGCTATGACGCTAGGGCACTCTACTGAGGGTGACAAAGTAAGACTATCAAAGAAAGAAAGAGGACAGACTTAGGTATCAGGTCTAGATTAAATCCTTCTTCAAACCCACTCCCCAAGCTATTTTCACAGTTGGGGCCTCACTTTCCTTCTCTGTGAAACGGACATATCAAGGTTGTTGAGTACATATGTAACTACTGTAGATGAAACTAAATATTGCAATAATGCCAGTAGGAGGGATAAGACTAAGCAAATGGTGGCTAGGGTTACTATTATTAGTCTCCTGAGTGTGACTGTATTTTTAGGACTGGGGAACTTGAGGCCTTTGTTGACTTCTGTAGACCCACACCTCCACCAGGCTCTGAGTCAGGGATAGTTGGAAGTCATGTTGGCACACTCCCCTACAATAGCTACAGCTCTAACCATTCAAGCGTTCACTTCTCCACCTCTTCATACTCCAACTCCCAGCTCTCCATCCCGTCTTTGCAGTTCCTCTCTTTTCTCCAAGCCACCCTGGACTCACACTCTGGCCCTTTAATTTCTCTCTTCTCTCCCCGTCTCCTCCCCAGAGGAGCGAAAGTTGCCGGTTCCAGTCAGACCACAGCTTCCCTCCTTGAGAGGACGGGGCAGAGTGTTCAGGATGTGGTGACAGCAGAGGTGACTGGACATTCCTGGCCTTTGCCAGTGTCTGGCTCGGGGCTACCCTGGTTGGAGCCCGTTGGCCATATAAGCCCTGGCTGTGGGGATCTATTTCCAAGACAGAGGAAATTCTCGACCTTTCCTGGGATTGGGAACGCCCAGAGTGTGGCATGTGCACACAAGCCCAGTGCAGTTCCTCACCATCTATGGAAAAGAAGGGCGTGGCTGAAAAGTTCTGACAACCTTTGTTTGTTTGTTTTTAATATGCACAGCTCTTTTTAGCCCGGCCCGCCCGGAGGCGCTGACTCACACCTTCCCGGCTCCGCCCTAAAGGGGGCTCTAGGGCCCCAGCCAGTGCCTTGAGGGTGGCAGTCTACGCGCCAGCAAAAGCTAGCCGACTTGGCCGGAAGTGGGAGACCGCAGGCTCCCGGTGAGGGAAGCCACCCTACTTCTAGCTTTACTATTCCAACGACAGCGGAGGATCTAGACGATTCCGAGTCAGGACTGTGGGTTATACCTGTGCATTCCTGCCACAATAACAGGCCCACCTCTGCACTCCCATTGCCATGCACAATAATTACGTGTGAGCCACTGCACACCCCCAAAGAGGAGAAATGAATGAATGGGAAACGCAGCAGGAGTTGGCGAAGAGAAAAGGCGAGGATAGGAAACACAGGCTGAGGATAGGCAGAAGTAAAGACCCAGCTGGAAGCATGAAAGAAACGGCTGGGCAAGAAGCTTGTCAGCGGTTACAAGAGGCACTCCTTGAAACCAGATAAAGCCACCCCCTCCTTTACAGAGCGGACTGGGCAGCCCCACCCGACCTAGAGCACCTAGCAAGTTAAGACTGGATCTAACCATTTTAATACTTCCCTGGGCCAAACAAGAAGCGCAGGGCTGGCCGGTCTGGACGGGCCATACCACTGACGTTTCGAGGGGAGTGCGGGCTGGCTGACTGCGCAGCGGAGTGGGGGAGGGACCAGACCAGGTGGAAGCTCTCGGGCGGTGCTAGTGCGACGCGGGGCCCGGCACACCAGATCTAGGTTGGGCGGCACCAACGGAGCACGGAGCGGTCTGATATACGCTCAATGTCTCCGCCGTCCGGCTGCCGTCTCTTGGGCTACCTGCGCCGCCCCTGAGACTCCCAGGGCCCGAGAGAGACGTTCCTCGCTCGGCACCAGCCAGGGCCCTGGGGAACTTGGGATGCGGTCCTCAGGGTCCTCCGTGTGGGGCTCAGGACGGGGAACCAACCGGCCGCTGGCCATCTCCTCTGGACTAGGCTCCCGAGTATCCTGGGTCTTGCCCGTTGTCAAAGATTGAAGGTGCTGAACTGGGGACGTGCTACTGCTGCGAGACCTCATCTTCTCCGGCCCTCCAGGATCTAAGCTGAGATCTGCGGGTGGTGGGACCGCGGGTTAGGTTGGGTGTCAAAGTAGAGAAGTGAAATCAGGGTGCTTGGCTAAGGGTGGCCAGGAGAGCCCAAGGGCTGCAGGAGACAGACTCTGACTCTCAGAGAAACCTCCCTTCAAGGCCTGAAGTGCCCCATTCAGGGACCAGCACCACCCCCACACGACCCAGGATACCTCCTTCCTGAGACCTGAGACACACCGCCCCCCCCCATCCAGAACATGCCCCTCAGAAATCAGTTCCCACAATCTCCATAGGAAATTGACCCTGGTCTTAATTTAGGAAGGACAAACTCCTCCTCCTCCCATCAAAGACCCCCAAGTCTCCCCTCTCATTGACTCCCTTGACTTTCAAACCCTTTCTCTTATCCACTGTTTGTCTTTCAAAACTAGACCCCTTACCCTCTGGATGCCCATTTCATTTCCTCCTGGCTAAGACCCACTCTGCCTTCCCATCCCAGAACTAAGACTCATCCTTGTGAACACTCACTCTTACCCCAGACCCTTTCCCTTCTAGTCCCTCCCTGCACCAACAAAGCATCCCTCTGAAATTCCTACCCTTGGGACCAACCCTCTCAGCCCTCACTTTATTCCTATCTCAGGGTCCTGTGCCCCTCCCTACCCCACTTTTGAGAATACCTTGACTCCCCGCAGACACAGAACATGGGACCCTCCCCACAGAGACTATCAAACCCTTCCCACCCAGAATCACAGTATCTCTATTCTGCCAACTTCTTCTCCTCATTGACCCTTTTCCCCTGGGAAACCCACCGTCTCCTCTTGGGAATCTTCCCACCCCTTCAGGCTTGCCCGAATGGGTCTCCACAGGCCGGCTGAGCACCAGGTGGAGCTGGGGGCCTCCAGCGCGTATCCTCTCCACCACCTGAGTGTGGGTGAGGCCCTGTGTTGACTCTCCATTAATGTGAAGCACTAGGTCACCGACCTGCCAGAGTCCGAGGGAGCGGTACTGTAGGAAGGGAAAATAGAGAGCACCCCCACAAAGGCAGGGATAGCACCTACCAGTGGAAGGTGCCTTAAGACTCACCTGCAAACGACCACAGCGCTGTGCCTGCCCGTCCTTAAGCAGCCCGCGCACAGCCAGCGGAGCATCCCCACCAACATCCTGGCCGCCACTTAAAGTGAGACCAAAGCCTTCAGAACCGCGGACCAGCTCTACAGAGAATTGATCAGGGGTCCGGGGCGGCTTCGAAGCACAACGTGCCTTAGCATGGGTCACTCCGGGCGGTTGAGTACACATACCCACAGTCTCCGACCGACGATGCTAGAGTAAGGACAGGGATGTACAGAGATTGCCAGCCCCGAAGCAGGTGGACTCAAATAGAAGAATGAGGTAGTACCTGCGGCTGGTGATCCACAGTAGTGGGGTGAGGTAGACGACTGTCTGTGACCTCTATGTCTGCAGAGTCCAGCACACTAACACCTGGGAGGAAACAAGCAGAGAAGACTGGGGGGGCAAGCTAACTTCTAGTCTCATTTACATGCCTCATTTGTACTACATAAGTACAAATTAGCTCATGGTTTATTTACCTAGACACTACTTGTTCAAATTATCTTAAAGAGATCGGTGCCTGTAGCTCAAGGGGATAAGGCGCCAGCCACATACCCAGAGCTGGAGTTTACAAATCCAGCCCGGGCCTACCAAACAACAATGACAACCACAGCCAAAAAATAGCCGGGCATTGTGGCGGGCGCCTGTAGTCCCTGCTACTTGGGAGGCTGAGGCAAGAGAATTGCTTAAGCCCAGGTTGCTGTGAGCTGTGATGCCACAGGCGCTCTTACCCAGGGCGATAGCTTGAGGCTCTGTCTCAAAAAAAAAAGTTATCTTAAAGATTCAGCCTACACAAATAACCGTTTAACCCTTCCTCCTTAAAAAAAAGTCCTGGGCTCGACCATTTGAATAATTCTACAGACCCCTCAAATAGCTGTAGGTCCACCCAGGAGGGTACGGCTTCAGATTTCGTCAAACCCTCTGATCACCCTCTAATCCTCATCTCCAGCCTCACATTTCAAGCCCCGCCCCCTGCCTAGCTTTCCAGGCCCGCCTCTTTGCTAAGTACCTGCCCCCAGTACTCTCCAGATCCCGCCTCCTCAGAAATGACGTACGAAGCTCCGTTCATCAGAATTTAAAAATCCAGCCCCGCACTCTCAACAAAATTGACACTCGCCTGCCGCAATAACCCTAAAAGATTCACTACCATACTCCAAGGCCTCCTCCCTTCGAAGCACCGCAGAGCCCCGCCCTTCCATAGCACACCCCTCGGCCCCACCCAGGGGAGTAGCTAAGAATCCGGGGCCTGCCACCCCCGAACCCACCTCTACACCAACCCCGCCCCCTGGAGGCCCCGCCCCCGTCACGTACCCTCCTTGGGACGCAGGCGCAATGTGGCGCCGGCCCTGCGCACCAGCGCCGCCACGTCGGCCGCAGCTCGGGCCGCCAGGGGGCGCGCGTCCAGCCGCGACAGGAGCTGACGGGCGCTGGGGCCAGCGGACAGGGGAGGGTGGCGGCCTGCGCGGGAGAGGGGGACATGTCAACTCCGACCCTGAGTGAGACTCGGCGAACCCCCATGCTTCCAAGCGTCCGAAGGCAAGACAAGACCTAGAGATGCCCCTCAAGATACCTTGACGCCCCCAAGCGCTCCCTCGATGGTTCTGGAGGTCGCCACTGTCCCTCTCCTCTCCCACGACCCCTGACCTTCGTGGGAATGCCCGTAGACCCCCGCCTGCCTCCACGATGTCCCCGGAGATAGCTGGTTGACTCCAGTAGTCCTGGACATCTCCAAACACCCTATGGTTTTTTCCTGGAGGTCTCCGACTGCCCCCTAATAAACTCAGACTCCAAAGTCTTCCCCCACGATATCTCCAGGCATCCAGACTCTTCCAGATATCCCAAGAGAGCACAGTCTGACTGACTCCGTAGCTCCAGGGACCCCAAATCCACCTTCAGATATCCTAGGCAACCCTTGCTAACCCCTGAATTCCCTCAGAGGCCCGGCTTCCCCACATGGCCACGTACCTCCAGATTCCCCCTCCACAGATTCCCAGGGGCCCCTAGCTGCCCCCCTCCGCCCCTTCACTACAGACCCCGAGTGCCCAGGTGTCCCCACTGACCACGAGCAGACCCCCTCCCCGCACATTTCCCCGGGTCTGGTGCTCGGGCCTTTCACTCGGAGGTGAGTGCTGGCACAGGTGTGAGCGTGGGTAGGGGACCTTGAGCCCAGCCCGGTCGCTGGTTCCCTGCCCGCTGCCACCGGCGCTTGGGCGCCAGAGCTGCTCTGTTTACCACCTGTCAGAAGGAAAGGGTGAGGAGCACACCGGCGGGGCGACGGTGGCTGGGGGACGCGCCCTCTCACTCCCCCATGCCCGCGTACCTCCTCTGCTCCCCCTAGGGTCCGTGGCGCCCCCTGCGCGCGGCTCCATGGCCAGTGGTCCGCCCAGTGGAAGCACGGCCTCCAGTGGCGCCTTTTGAGCGCTGGAACGCACTCGCCTGGCGGCCCGCCCAGGCCTGGAGGCTGAGGCCGGCAGATCCTGTGCCTGGCGCCCCGACCCGAGCGGTGACCTACCTGGCGGCCCGCAAGGAGGCCTAGCTATGGGAGGCAGCTGGAGCACTGAGTCTCCCTCTGCCTCAGGCTTTGTCTTGGTTAACTGGGGACTCTAACTTGGCTCCTCTTTCCGTCCAGAGGATGTTATTATTACACGCATAGGAAGGGAAGCGGAGACCCAGAGAAGTTAGGGCACCATCTGAGTTCCGACAACTAAACACAAGAATGCCAAAGTAGAGCCCAAGTTTACCAGGGAATCCTGAAATTGTCACCAGAGCTTTGCACGTAATGGGCACTCTGTAAGTTTGCAGTGAAAGTTTGCCTACAGCGGTGGTTGTGAAAGGCAGGTGGAGTATTGGTCCTCCCTCTGCCCTTAGGCTCCTTGGCTTGTATTAACCGCGGATTCTGGTTATAATTTAAGTCTGACCATACCGATGTTGTGGAAAATATGGAGGAAAAAGAAGATTTTTCTTTTCTTTTCTTTCTTTCTTTTTTTTTTTAACCAAGGTAGAGTTTCACTTTGTCACCTTGGGTAGAGTGCTGTGGCGTCATAGCTCACAGCAACCTCAAACTCCTGGCCTCAGCCTCCCAAGTAGCTGGGACTACAGGAGCCCTCCACAACG